GGCTGTTACGTAGAAGCTGGGTTGACAAGATCAGAAATGAGGAGGGGATAAGCCGCCTGGGAAAGCCAAGGAAAATCATCAACACAATTAAAAAGCGAAAATTAGAATATTTCAGACATGACGCGACACCCAGAAAAACACGGCATACTCCATTTCATCCTCCAGGGAAAGATGGAAGGCAAACGAGGTCCAGGCAGAAGAAGAACATCGTGGCTTCAAAATCTAAGGGACTGGCTTGGACAAAATTCAGCAGCACTTTTTCCTGCGGCTGCTGATAAAAACAGGATCGCCAATGTGATCGCCAACGTCCGATAACAGATATGGCACAAGAAGAAGAAGGTTATCCCGGGACACGCGGATTTGCTCTCATTCAAGAAAATGAAGCCTTTTCCCCACCGAGGAACACCCGATGCTTTGCTCGCGTGCTTTTTGCAGGCCATAGAAATGGGGGGCGGGGGGGGAATGGGGGGGAAGCGCAGGGGAATGGGGGTGCAGCTTGAGGCCAAGGACGGGGTCCTTAAGCCAGCGTCTCCCAGGGGACAGCGACGCAACTGGGGGGAAATCCACAAGCTGCAGCCAGAATTAATTTAAATAGAATTCCGTTTATTCCACGCAGAAACGGCCGGAGGGAGGAGGCGGGCTCCGGGCCAAGGAGGGCAGACCCTCCAGAGGAGAAAGGCTCGGGTCCTAGTCGCGCTCGAAGGCCGGGTTGGAGAGGTAGCCGAAGTTGCGGTGGGCAGCCGAGTTCCCGGACCGGGGCGGTGGCCTCCGTTTCCTGCCAAGACAAGGGCCGGCCTTAGAATGCCGAAAGGACCGGGTGGGGGGGGCGCATAGGAGCAGGGTTGACCCAACGGGGGCTTCAGTGGATCGTGTTTTAAGGGGCCCAACTCTGGGGATAGGAAGGGAGGGGGCTATTCTGCCCTTCTTTGCTTTGGGGGGGGGCTGCTCTTTGGAGGGGGCCAAAGGAAAAATGCTGCTGCCAACGGAGGCTGGCATTTGGGCGATGCCCTCTGGGGTTGCCCTGGGGCAGGGGCAGCAGTGGAGAGCAGTAAGTAGCCATTGGACTAACAGCCCCTCCAGCTCTGCACAGGTTGGCTTTGGTTGCGGGGGGGGGCTTCCTACAGCTTGAAGGGGTCTTCTACTCTTCTCTTCCCCTCCCCCTGATTCTCTGCCTCCATCTCTCACTGCTGAAGGCAGAGCCCCGCCCTCGTGGGACCGCCCACCCAAAGAGGACCCCCTCTCTCGAAAAGACCCCGAGCCTTCGCTCCCCCCCCCACGCAGTGCTTCTCCCCCCGCCCTGCCCGGCGTACCTGCCTGGGACAACTCACCTGCGGTTGCACAAGCAGACGGTCACGGAGACGATCACGGCCAGCAGGATGGCGCCAGCCGCCACGCCCAGCGCGATGTAGAGGGGAAGCCAAACGTCTGCGGGGGGGAGATAGAGAAGGGGCCGGTCAGGACAGTCGGGGCAAGAGCTGCGTTCACACAATGCGCAAAGTTCGGCAGCTCCGGGCAAGATATAGGGACGGAGCAAAGCCT